TTCATCCCCTGCCGCCCCTGCCGTATCAAGTCGGCACGCCAGCAACCCGGCAGCATATGCCTGTCGTGGTCGACAAGGCCGCCTGCAGTCGGGCAAACAAAAGGCCGTTTTCTTTCAGTGTTTGGTGCTGGGAAAATGGTGCTTTTTGTAGGGTGAATTTCTCTTTGTCTGGATGGGAAAGCCACATGTTTCCGACGCATGTTGTTCATATTTTGTTATGGAAAATTCTAAGCATTTGTTGACGGTTACATGTGGAAATTGTTCAAAGGATTGTGGCCCAAACGCATGGCTGAGACATTGGTTCCTGTTCACCATCATCATGCCAAGACCAAATTGTATCAAACTTGGCAGGATAAGCAAGACGTATATGTGCCACAGTGCCAACCAGTGCCACGGTCAAAACATTGTATATGAGTATGAGTATGTATCAAGGGCCATTTCAGGAACCGATTCATTGGAGGTACCTACCGTATATAAGGCCTATTTTTCAGGCCTAAATTTCAGGGAATATCCCTACAAAATAAGGCCTGAAATATGGTACTAAGTTAGTACCTCCATCTGTTGGATCCTGGAGTTCCCATTGAGATAATCTATGATTAATAGTTACCATCTGGAAATTTTCTAGCTAGTGAAAATAGCCATAGAAATAGTGGATTTACCCCCTGGTAAATTAACAGTTGGACCCTGGCAGTTGTTGGGGTTGGAAGATGAGTTTCCATTAAAACTAGGCTATTTTCAGGGTCTATGTTAATTTACCAGAGGGTACCCATTAAAAATGGTGGTATGATGATCCCACCCTGCGGATTCAGAATGACTGAGGGGACGACCCCAGGTTTTTGTGACCCGTTACAAGGTGCTCCAGTGGTGCTTCACCTACCAAACAAAACCAACTTAGCTATCAATGGTGGGCCCGTGTTATATATATATATATATATATATCAAGATGTGTATATATATATATATACTGTATATATATATATATGCTACATACAGTATGGATGTGTATCAACATTTAGGGACAACCAAAATTTCCACGGGTCATCCAACATTGGCGATCCATGGCTGCCACATGGCTGACCCCAAATATGGCTGGGTCACCCCGCTTGTTTTTGATCATTTCACTGATATGATACATATTACAATATATACATATTTTATTATATTCTATTATGTTATGTTATGTTATATTATAGTATATTATATTATATATATATCATATTATTTATTTATATATATATATATTCACACGAATATTCACGGAGTATACTAACTAAATCAAACTAATGTATACTATCCATATCCCTGGCTCTGAGGTATCGGATATTTGCCCACCTGGGAGTCCCGACCTGCTCAGCTGCGCACGGAAGCTGTTGCGGCTTGAAGGGGCGCTGTAGTTCGGTTCGGGTGGTTGAGAGGGATAGTAGCCCATTGTACTATGGAGACACCAAGGATATTAAGTACTAGTACCCAATATCATGGCCTTCTTACTACTGTGACAATTTGAATACCTTAGTATCAATGTTATTGACTACCAACAAAGTAGAAACTATTACTGTTAAATGGTATGACGGTATGACATTGAGTCAATACCACTAGCAACTACAGTATAGTTTTACTCCGAAGCTGTTGTTGTATATCTGACATAGCCCTTCCCCTAAACATAAATGAAATTCCCGAGTAGAAACCAATTCTTTCAGGTGTGACTGCCCAACTCGATTACTCTTAGGGCGAACCACAGTTTACATCAATTTACCATGAACCACAATTTTAGTTAGGGCGAACTCTGACCATCCATCGTTATTAAATCCTCAAAAATCATGTTCCAATCGTTAAATCCTCGTTCAAATCGTCCCAGAAATCCTCGTGGTGCTTCACCACCAAGGCTTAGAAACCTTATAGAAACTACGGTGAAGTACGGCAATCTTTGTGCAATGTGCTATCAATGTGAAGTGCCCAATAAATTTAAAAGGAACACATGGAAGCCCGGAAAGTTCCATAAGTGAGATGATTTTCCTCTTGGGCATGGCATTTTTTCGGGTTCCATGTACCATCTGGTTATGACTAACATTGCCATGGAAAATCACCATTTTTAATAGGTAAACCATCTATTTCTATGGGCCATCTATACCATGGCTATGTAACAAATAACCAGAGGGTAAATCTAGGGGGGAAGTTTCATCCGATTGAAAAACCATGGTGAAATCGAAAACTTCAAATCAAGAAGGTCAATCTAAGTCTGAGGCAAGCCTTCCCTGACGAACTCCGTTCAGAAAAAGGCGAATCAGCTGACAATTCATCGATTAAAGCCCATAGGATCCATGGTGCTGGTATATAAATGCTAACATTTGGGGTATATTGATGGTAAATGTTACCATATGTTACCATAAATAGCATACATGGATCCTATGGGTAGGTGATTGTATCATGTATCTGTCACAACTAAATGTTGGATTTGTCCATTGTGAAATTGCCAGGGAGTAGACAAAAAGTGATCCAAAAATAAGTGAATCACTCTCCTCGAACAAAAGACGGCGGATGTACTTGCCCTGTACTTTGGGTATCAAGCTGAATGTGCTGTGATCAAGGTGGCTGCTGACTTTTATTCACCTATCACACAACAACACCACTTCGAAGAAAACGGATATGAGTATGGGTCAAAGCCCTAGCCATCGTGTTGTTTTGTTCAGAAACTAAAATGGTATGGCAATTTTGCAATTTACTTATGTTCAATACCCCGGACAAAATGTTTTGAACATACCAGCCTCCTTCCCTTCTTGATTGCAACAGGTGGATTGAACATCTGCATTGGCAGATTGAGCAAAGTGCGGCAACACAAACGTGACGTTCCGCAAACGTCGCATGCCCACGCTTTTCGCGATTGGGCTTGGAAGAGCATGTTTCATCCGACCAATCTCAGCAAATCATATTTTCACCATCCAAAATGATATGAGCAATTTTGATCAAATTTGCGACTGGTTCTCTTCAGCTTTGGTTCTCGATGGTTGTAGTTCGCAAGGAATATATGTTCCAAATAAAGTAGGACAGGGATGTGTATCCCGGTATCCCACATTTTTGAAAACAGAAAACTTGTAGACAAAGAGCTCCATTTGCCATGCCCCAGCCCCCTACAATTGCAATATCCGATGGGATCCGTGTATGTCATGCATTAATCGGTACTAACCACTTAGAAAAAAACACATCTATGTCAATAAATGCCAATCACTTCACACAGCAATCGTTAGATCATTCATGTCGATTCCACTGAATTCCCAATAATTCCCAGACTTGTTGGTTGAGTAAAACCATGTTGTCCCTCACCATGCTCCATGGCCAGTTGATGCTCCGCAGCACAGCTCAGAATTTCCTGGATCGTGGATGGATTTTGTTGATGAATTTTGTCGATTTCCGCATGATTTCGGCATCAATCCTTAAGCATAAACTTAAGCATAAAATTGTGATTGATGATCCAAAACCAATCCAAGACCTATATACTTGTGCACATGGAAAAAAAATCTGAAAGGGAATAACGGATGCTAACAAATCAAGATGGGGAGAAGACCCAACCAAAATGGTGATGTGCTCTGAACTGGTATGTTTCTACTTTAAGAGAACATGTTCCTCCATTGGAAAATCATAGTTCACCTCGAATAAGGTGCCCTCGTAAGGTTGGTAACTCGTCCAACAAACGCTACGTCAGAACTCCAGAAACCAAATCGGTAATGCACATTACACATGTATATATATACACATATATTCTAGTGTATCTATATGTACGTATATACATATATATATATATGTATATATATACCTGTAACCTCCAGGACCTGCATAATTTCCTGCCTTATTGGCAAAATCAACCTTTCAAATCACAGCCGGAATTCTGAGGTATGTCGTGATTTTGTATTTTCAAGGTTTGCACACCTCTTGAGATATTGAACAAGAGATATCAAGAGATCTATCACCATAAACATCCTCATTTCCAGGCCCCGATGAATCAGCAAGGTGAAGCTGCGCCAATCATTCAGTGGCTCAAAAGTGGCTACCTAAGGTCTGTGCAGGGACTTGTTGTGAGAAAAGAAAACCAAAGTTTATGAATCACACAAACCATAGAGGCATTAATCATTGATCATTCAACATGTCCCGCTGATGCAACGCAATAGATTTATCACCAGGTGTCCGCAATGGCTTAAAATAGATGTAGTTTTGGGGCACACATGAAAAGGACCGACTGCCCATCCTTCCTTTTCTTTCAAACTTGTTGCCCAGCCACATGGTGTTGGCGGCTTCTCACACAATGCAAGGGAAGCAAGGTGGAACTGGAACCAGGCAAAGTGTGGGGCAGGAATCTTGTTGAAAACAGCATTGCATGATATTGCATGCATGTGTTATCATTTTTTGTTGCCAGAGCTTCATCCTGGAATGTTGGTGAACACACTTACTTATCCCCATTTTCTATACCCTTATTCCTCCTTCTTCCACCTTCTTCAAGCGCCTTCTGCAGGCAAATGATTCTCACGCAGCTGGCCTTGACCAAGCTACTCATGTCAACCCTGCGTGTTTGCAGACATGAGCGGGTGGCTGACTGGACTGGGCCCAAAGGTACCCTATGCATACAATTCTGTGACTAGCCACCTTCAAAACTGGAGGTAAATGATGGCAAATTGTAGCTAAAAATAGGCAACGGTTGGTGTTGCTGGCATGTGTCAGAGTGATGCGAATCCTGTGAAGATTTGCCAGCAGGTTTTCAAGTTTCTCAGAAACAAAGGTCTTTTGACCCTAGCTGATTCTGCTTTCCACTTCTGCAGCCACAAGCTTCTCCATAGGTATGCCGTCATGCAATCCCATGCAATCCTAATTTGATTCATACCCAGTTATACACGTCCAACCCGCTTTAACTTACAGCCCCCTGGTTTACACAAATGCGCATGAGCCCAATCCATTGTAAGTCAACATTTTTAAAGTTATTGTGGGGCTGAACTGGTTTCATTTCTGTCCCAACCATGCCGGCTTTCCCTCGGCGTGCTGCTTCTGAAGCGGAAAACTTAGAGCCGGAAGAATGCAAGCTAGACCCGGCTTCACTTGCCGGCATGCTTGAAGCTGATGTCCGCGTTCGAAACCGCCTTCGGTACAGAGAGGAGGGAAAGCTTCTTAGGTGGATGAAAAATGAAAAGGGTAATGATGTGGTTGGGCAATTGGCGATGCCCATCATTGCCATGAATGTGAGGGTGCTTACTATCCTAGCTCGATACTGGTGCCCGAAAGCCAAGAAGGTGGCCAAGTCCCCTAGCATCCATTTGGTCAGAAAAGAGGCGAGGTTTGGAACATCCCCAGTTTCAAGTATTTTTTGATTTCGGTATCAAAATTGTTTTCAATCAGGTTGAGTCATTATAGATCATTCCTACAGCTACTGGTGTGAATACAAGTTCTGCCCATGGTCATCTAAAATGAAAAGTGAATCCATAATTCCTCCAGTTTCCCATTTGTGGTCGAACCCAGGCTTTACTTTTGCACGCAGGTCCTTGAATTGAAAGCTGCGTGCGGCTTCAAGCTTGATTCCGCCCTTCTAGAGGCTGATTCGTGGGGCCTTAAAAAGCTCTTCACATATGGATGTGCCAAGGGTGGATTTGGGAATGACAAGAGTCCCATCCGTCGCAACCCTTGGCTTAGCCCATGGACCTAAGATTTTTTTTGATAAACGAAAGTTCCCCATGTTACGTGAGTTTGATAGAAACAACTGCTCAATATTGTTTAATGCATGCATGTTTGACAGGAAGCTTACGTTTACACAGCAGGTAGTAACAAATCAATAGATGCATACTGCATATATCCTGCATGCGTGTGTGCGCACAAGGACCCAGCAGTCAATGAGTTCTACGAGGAGTTGTTCGAACACTGGCGTCCTAAGGCGAAGCCGGTGCTGATTGACTTGGAGAAGGAGGATGACAGTGACAACGGGATGGACCTGAGTGGGTTGTTTTCGGTGAAGGGTGAGGAGGAAGAAGAAGAAAGTGGGGGGAATGAGAATTCATATGCGTTGATGGACCCTTACTTCACCCAAATGATGCCTGATGATGAGCTTTTGCTAGCTTTGGGCAGTGAACCAATTGAGACTGGTGAGGGCGAGGGTGTTCACGCAGAGCAAGGCAAACATGAGGACAAGGTTGAATGTGATGGTTTGGAGAAACCTCTTGATCCACCTGGTGCAGTTGGGGTTGAGGGAAAGAGCCCAGCCAAACCCCATGTTGAGCAACCGGAACCAGTGGGATGTATCTCTACCACACCAAAGGCTTCAGTTACCAAAGTCCCATTCACCCCGGCGAAAGAGATCTCCAACAAAGACCTTGATGAAAAGATTGCAAGCTTGAAGCAACTTGCACATATTATGTTTCGACAAAAAGTTTTTTGTGTTGCAAAGGGGAACCAAGTCCAAACAAAAGCAGTGGCAATACATGGCAATGGTCACTATATTAAGTACATGTTTCCTTTATTAAGTTTCTTTCCTTTAGAATTCATGATGCAAATGAAAAGGAACCCTGACCGTCTACAACGTCAGTCATGGTTTACCTGTTCTATTTCATGTTTGCTTTCTTTATTCGGTCCCTTTGCTTCCGACTGCCTAGGCGGCGGCTTGCAACGAAGAAGCCTCAGCCTGCCCAACCTTGTGCAATGGATGCTGTGGACACCCTGGCGTTCGATGCGACTCAAGTGGCTTCTGACATGCAGGAGGCTGGTGCTCCGATTTGGGTTGAGGATACACAATCTGATGGTGATGGGCCTGGGGCAGTGTGCAGGTCTTTGGCAGCAGATTTCAGCAGTGCCATGTTTTCTGAAGAAGGCCAGGTCCAAAATATATCAGCTTTAAATGGGTTTGAATTACATCTTTTGCGTGCATACGCAAGCCCTGTTCCTGGTTTCATTTGTTCTTGACAGGTTTCATTGTATTTGGTATTGGATATTGGTTTGACTTGGACCGTATGTTCGACCAACAGCATGACTCTATACCCCTTTCCCAGGTGATCGAAAGGACCGCTTGGATGCCATGGAAGTTCCCATACTCCAGAACCCGACGGGGGAGGTGGATGATCAAGGTTCTGACCAAAGGGTGGAGGATGAAAACGAAATGAATGATCAGCAGGTGGAGGCTGATTTGGGTGGTGAGCACATGGAGGCTGAAAAGAATGAAGTGGGTGGTGAACAGGTGGGTACTGAGCAGGCGGAGGATGTGAAAATAGAGGCTGAGAAAAACGAAACGGGTGGTGAGGACATGGAGGCTGATGACATTGGGATGGGTGGTGGCGAGGTTGAGAATGGAAAAGTTACAGCCGTTGGTGAACAGGTGGAGGATGAGAAAGCGGAGATGATGAATGAGGAGGTGGAGGATGATGAAGAAGAGATGGCCCAACAGCTGTCTCAAAAGGATTGTGACATGGAGGAGGAGGAGGAGGAGGAACGAGAACCTGAAAAGTCAGTGGATGACGATGAACCTGTGGCTACTGACCTGGACCCCCTTAGCAAAACAAAGGAAACACAGCCTGACGTTGAAACCGGTGAGCCCCCCATGGTTCGGCGGGTAGAACAGTGGCAGCAGAAACCAAAGGCAAAGGCCAAGGCCAAGGCAGGGCCTAAGGCCAAGGCAAAGGCCAAAGCAAAGAGCAAGGTGCAAGGGAAAGGCAAGGAAGCAAAAAGCAAGAAGAACAGTAAGAGAAAAGCAGAGGAGACTGTTGAAGTTTTGGCCTCAGGAGAGGAAGGTGAGGTTCCTGAGGAAGAGGTGGCAAAACCTTCGCAGAGAAAGCGTGTTGCAAGAAAGGCCCGAGCCAAGTCTGCAGCCAAAACAGAGCCATCCGGCAGCAATGAGCATTCGGCCAAAGCCTCTGACAGCAAGGAAAACAAGGAGCCCCCCATCAAATACAAGCCAGTCACTGAGGAAGGTAAGGCTGACATAGAAGAAGCTTTCAACTGGGAGGAAGGGAATGGGAAGGGTCAGGCTGGTGAGGAATGTGAGAGCGTTGCTGGGTCTGATTTGGGTGAACATGAGAATCAGGAACCAGAACCAAACACTGACAAGAAAAAGAACGACTTGCAGTCTTTCGCCCGTCGCCCGCCCCCAAAGACTTCACCATCAAGGGACAGGTGGTTGGTTATCCGGGACGTTTTCAACGAGCATTTGGTGCCTGCTTTGAAGTTGGTGGGATTTCCGATCTACAAATGGGAGGCCTGGTGAATGATACCAAACCACAAAAAGGATGGAAAGGGCAATCTTAGTTACTGTTTTCCAACTTGAACCCTATATAATCTTTGCATCTTTATTTTATGTTCAACCTGAGAATTTAGTTCCTCTTGGTATCCATTGATCTTTGACTTTGAAGTGGTTGCTGTCCATTTCTGGTGTCAAATAACCACCATTCTATTCTTTAAACGGGGCTGTTCTTTCATCACTATGCCTGCCTGTGAACCTGTCCCTCAGGTTGAATGGTGGGAGTGGGCTATGGACAAGTTGACTGAGGACAGCGTGAGCAACGAGAATCTACGCGGCTTGGGTGGTGATGCCATCGCTGAGAAGTTGAAGCCTGTGGCCATGCACCAACTGAGGGAGTTCTGTCGCGACTCTTGCATTCCCACGGAAGAGTGGCCAAACCTGGAATGAAACGCTTTGGTCCCTGAAATGAAACATTTGCAATGTGATAAGAAATGCGCTAGATCGCTCTTAACATCTTAGCCTTGTTTCTAAAGCTGTTTGTGATTGTTTGTGCATTGTAACCTGGCCTGAGAGGGGCGCGAAGGGACTGACAGGAGAGCTTGCTTTTTGGGAGGTGTGCATAACATATACTATGCACTATGCACCTCTTTGTTCCAAATTTCTTAGGGTCATGCAGTCTGAAGTGGCTGCGCAATTTGGGGATCTTACTTGGCAGCTTGATCATTCAACGTGTTTCTTAGCCGTTTTTTGCAGTAGCTGTCTGCTTGGCTTTGCCGGCTCTTTCAATCTTGCTTGTCGCTGGTGTCGGAAAATATGACAGCATTCAGGGAAGCTTTATTTGAACATCTCTGTATGAGCCAAACCATTCTTTAAATGAAAAGAACCTTTCAAAACGAATATGAATGATGAACCTGTTGCCTCGTGTACAAGCCTTTTTTTTCTCCCATTCCCATTGCTTGACCCCCCACGAACAAATGCTGTTTATTTGCACGCTGGCCAGGTGAATGCCCATCCAACGAGGATGCCGGAACCTTGCCAAATTCGGCATTAGCACAGTGACTACTGGAGGTGGTCCCTGCTGGTTTTGTGGTGTGTTGGGAGGGAGTATTTCGCGGTGTTCATATTTTGTCCATTCTTCTATGTTGTAGTGTTCGCCACAAGTTTTTTTTTCAGAAATATGTCCATTCTTGCGGTGGCAGTTCTGGCTGAAAACAAGCTGTGATTGCAAGGGTATATTTATCCCAAACAACGTATTGATTTGCCATACATCGATGACTCATACTGTTGAAATCCACCAACAAAGCATGTGCAATGAATCAAGGTCCAATAAATCCATTATGCATATACTTCTCAAAATGGGGGATGCTCGAAATTATTCGATATTAAGTACTAGTAGGCGGTTTTCGAGCATCCACCATTTTGAGAAATACCCATGTGCATGTATGCACATGCATATAATCCAATGTAATATTGTATACCCCAAAATATCTGGTAACCATAACACACCACATCACACCTTGTTGGAAAACATATTTGAAAGGTGTTTCACTGTTTCACTTCTTCTAAAAAGATCCATTGATCTTTCGCCATGACCCCGCCTCAATTCGAGCTGTTCATCAAGCGGCTCATCAAGTTTGGCATCCCAAAAGATGCTTGTCCTGCATCCGTCAAGCCATGCTTCCATGGTGCAACAAGACTGGATCCCCTCTTGCATATATTTATACCCTTAGAAACTGAACTGAGGTAGTGATCTTACTCATCTTGCTGGTTTGGTGGCTTGACCTTCCGCCACAAGGTGACCCTTACCAAGTGATTGAGATGTTTGCAGGGGTAGGAAGGATAGCAGCCCTATCCAAATTTGCTGGGTTCAAGTCAGCGGCCATTGACCTTGAGTATGCGAAGGAAAGGTGGGAACGGGTGGGCAAACGCTCACCTATGGATATCAACTCTGATGCAGGATTATTGTCCCGAGTTTGCATTAAACATGTTTTCCAATCTGGGGACCCCATGGAAAAAGGAATGAATGAACCCATAATATCATAGAATTTTTAAATACTCTATTGCAAAGACTGGGTACATGGGATAGTCATACAGGCCAAGGGAATCCATTGGGCTTTGCTCCGGTTCAGCTTTCAGTGAGAAACCCTTGAACTTCAGGTTATGTATCCATTTGGTGTTGACTTCGCAATGGGAAGAACTGGTTGGCTTCCTTGCCATAGTCTGTTCATCATGGGTGCCTGTCAATCGCGGTAGTACTGGCAGGGGAATTCTAACGCCACTTGGAAATGAATCCTTTTTGGCAGTGAGGCGTTCGAACAAAATGACATCCAGGCCTTTGGGATGAGATTTGTTCAAACAACGTTGATTTAAAAAAAAAACATTCTTCAGTAGTGTGCTGTCCATCATGAATATCCCCCGAAATAACATACCCTGTTGAAGTTCAACAATGCTATTACAGCTGCTATATCATTTGGAACATTTGAATGATCTTTCTGGGTGGCCCCTGAAGGTGCATAATCATAATGGCTATGATTTTCGCCGCTGGAGGAACGTTCCTGGTAGAAAACCCTGCCAACTCATTGATCGCCCTTCACCCCCGGTGGGTCTGGTTCCTCGAATGCCTTCGTAAATACCATGTCTTTGTGCCTAGGCGATCCAAGCACTGTGTGTTTTATTCGCTCCAAAATAGGGCATGGAACATGTTTATGATGAAAACATGTTTTGAACAAGTAATTAATCTCCTACTGCTTCCACTCTATATTGGGCCTATCCCAAGGTATGGAAGGTAGCGTTTTGGATGAGGAAATTCGGCGCTTTGTCATGGAAACGCACATGGTTATGGTCAAACAGTCGCAGTATCGGGGCCCTGGACAAGGGCCGTTTGACACGTCAAGAGCGAAACACTGCCAGACCGACTACTACAAGATATCGAGACAAATCGGGCAAACTAAAATTCAAAGGAAATGGAAACCTTAAGAAATCTCAGAAGCTTTAAAGCATTCATGTGCATGTGTGTGGTTTCAATTTGTGCACCACCTTTTCAACTGTATTGACCCAAATCGCGCTTTTGTTTGGGGATAAATTTTGTTTGGGGATGTTTGGATCAGGTTCATGTTCAAGAAATGATGGGTTCAACTCTCCCTATGTTTTATACACTCTTTAGTGGCCTGCTCAGGGGTTCCATGTTCTTGCATGGGTCAAACTCATGAGGATTTACACCTACAAGTATGCAGCAAAGTTGGTACAGCTCATCCCAGAATTTCAAGCTGACTCCAAAGCTCGTGACTTTCCCGTGGAGGCATTGTTGAATTAAACCATCATTTTCTACAATAATAAATGTCAATTTGATACTCCCCCATTCTATCATCCCTGATTTTCCTCTGCTCTTGGCCCTGGCAGGTGGAGAGTGAATCCACAGCCTTGGAACTTTTTGCTACTATGGCCTTTTGTGATGAGGGCCAAGCTTGGGACCAGGAGGCTGATCTTAGACGTGTGATTCGCTATGCCAGGGGGTCCAAGAGACTCCATATTCCTAGTGAATGGCGGCCTTTGCTCCCAACTGAAATCTAATTGAACCAAATTAAATGGCTTGGGCAGTTTAGATACCATGAATAAGTGCAATCCAGATACCTTTATTGGCACATGATGACCATCACACTTTGTGCTTCCTTCGCTTCCAATGCCCTAGCTCCTGCATGGCAGAGTGACAAGCTTGCGCCAGTGGGTGGAAAGGTGATATGGATCTATCCGTGGCAACTTCGGGATCGGTAGATTGGGGTTGGTATGAGGAGATTGTGGAAAATGTTTTGGTTGCCAAAATGCATTTTGATTGTAAACAATATGAGGCATGTATAGCCATATCCCAGATATTGTCCAAAGGACCCAATACTATCAACAAAACGAGTCTAGCATTCAGGATATCAGTTTTGAGAGATAAAGACTTCATGGGGTCTGGATCACAAAAAAGAGCTTGCCATGAGTATACCAAAACCCTTATTACTAAGATATTATTTCTTTTACTTCTTCCAATTGAGAAAACAAGGATGACTTCAGGGATGCCCAGTATCATCATGAATGCATATATAAGCACGGTCTATGAAGTTTAACAGACGTCAGGTATACCCTTATTACTATATACAATGGAGAAAACAAGGATGCCTTCAGGGATGCCCGGAAACATCATGAATGCATGTATAAGCATGATCTATGAAGTTTAACCGACTTCAGGGACCATACTGATCCATGAGCAAACCTCATCCATGAGCAAACCTCAGGGATCATACTGGAAATAACAAACTTCAGGGATCATAAAGGGGATGAACATACTTCAGGGATCATAAAGGGAATGAACACACTTCAGGGATCATAAAGGGAATGAACACACTTCAGGGATCATAAAGTTAATGAACACACTTCAGGGATCATAAAGGGGATGAAAGGAATTCCATGAACAAAGCTTCAGGGGTCCATGAACACGATTTTCATGAGTTTCTTCATGAATCACAAAAATTGTGGCCGGAAATACCCAGGAAAAAGCAGGAAATACCCAGGAAAAAGCAGGAAATAACCGGTCGTCCATCTGAGGGCTCATGCATTATGAGAAAATCAGGGAATCATGAACTCAGAGCATTGTGAAGAAATCGACATTGCTCATGAATCATGAACTCAGAGCTTTCTGCTAAAACAAATTCACAATAAAAATATCTGCAGCCGCTTGAGTGGATCATTTACCATTAGTATAGCTCTTATGCCCACTGAGCTTGCTTCAAGGGTGTTTTCTTCAGAGACGCTCGTAGAGGGTCTTGCTGTGGTGAAGGCTGAGATAGGCATGGATGACCTTTCTGGTGTGGATATTGCCCAAATGGAACAAGAACTCAAAGACCTTGAGGCCTGTCCCAAGTGTGATCCTGTGCCAAATGGATGGTAAAATCAAGGTGTGGTATTCACATGCATGTATAATATGCCATTGGTATACTAAATTTATATTCAAATGCTGGTTGGACTTTGAATCTTCCATTCTATCAGTTTTTCAATGGTGTGGCTATGCCTCCATCGGCAAAACAGATTCCGCATGATTCCACCATGAGTGCTGTAGGCCTTGAGAGCGAGCCGTGTCATTCCAACTCCTGTCCGAGCTGGTGGAGAACAGTTGGGACCACATGAGGATACCATCCCAGCTGATTTGGAGGTATCTTGCATTCTTGATGCGTAGTGCCTCCTAGCTGTATTGACTGCAGTTCTATATATTATATGGTAATCTGTTTATTGATCATTGTTGCGCTAAAAAGTGAAACTTTGATTTCATTTTCAAAGTAATTACTTAGTCAGTGGGTTCCCTTACCCCCCAAAAAAAACCTTTTTTGGTTGGGTGTGAAATAGATTAGATACCCCCTGGGCGCTTGAACCCAACAAAAAAAAAACTTAAACGTTCCCTCAGCCCTGATTTCATGAGTTGTTGTAAAGCCCAAACTGCCCAGGTAACGGCCGAACAGCTGAGAGTCCTCCTTCTGGTGAGGACAACCCTCCTGACCATGGCATGTCGGTTCGGGACTTGGTTGATGGCTATGATTCAGCGGAGGATGACCCTTGGACTAACTGGTTGCTGGTAAAAGTGGCAAATAGTTCAAGTATCATCATCATCATCATCATCATCATCATCATCATCATCATCGATAAGCCTATCGCTGTATGTCCACTCTTATGCTGTCTCTGCATGTATTGAGGATGAATTGCTGAGACGCTTACAAACTGGTGAGTTGGCATTTCCTGAAGACTTCACCTCGGAGACCCCTGCTGTAGATGACCCATACTTCGGACTACCCAATGCTGATGATGCCCAGGTCTGGGGTCTCACAACATTGCTGACAAAATCAAACATGATGTACAATTAGCATTTAGTGCATGAATGCTCCAACATCATTGGTAAAGCAAACCAACATTTTTGTTTGCATGATTATTATATTGAATTTGACTATAATCACCTTCCATCCCTGTGCCAGCGTCATACAGGATCTGAAACCAGACCAGCTGGCGGTGATGGATGCTCTGGCTGCTGCTTTTGCCCAGGATTGGGGACTGGTGTGCACGGAAATTTTGTATACCTTGTATATAAGCAGAATTACTATATGTCACGGCCCTGAAGTGCCTATAACAGCAAACCACAGTCATGCCTTCGAAGCAACATCACATTGAGTGTATATCGAATTCAAAAACATGCATGCTTTGGGGGTTGATGCGCTGCAGGAGGATGTGGCGATGGCTGAGAAAGGGAATGAGAATTCCTTGGGTGATGATTCGAAGGTGCTTTACCTTAAACCAAACTGGCCGATGTGGAATCTTTCAAGTAGGAGATTGGTTCGCTTCTTCAGGCATATGTTTTCTCTTTAAAGCATTTGTGCTGTGTGTTTGTACCCCTTCAACATCAATGGGTCGCCTCCCGCGACTCCAGGTGGACACTGCACCCTCTGCATCCTTGACACCGAACCAAGACACCGGAACACCAAAGACCTACAAGGTATTATGGCTGCAGCTTATTTTTCCGTGAATGCATGTTCACTTCACAACTGCCAATTGGTTAGATTGAGATCTTTACAGTGCAATGACTTTATCTTTGGGGTTATATTGGGCCTGCTCTTCTCCATGTTTTTCTGAGGCAGGTGAGAGCAACGCTATGAAATGCCTACGTCGACTTGTCCAGCCCCGTGCGGATGGATCCTTCCTAGTCCCTGAAGAGATCATTGCAAAGTTCAAAGATATTGCTGGGGGTGGGCGCTCGGAAGTCTTACGTTTATATGAGCAATGTGGATGCAACAAGGACCCTAGATCAAGTTGGAAAGAAACACACGTGGTCCTAATATTTATAAGATATGTCCCAACTGTGTTTCCCGAGGGTCTCCTCATTTCACATCCACAGCCGTCGTTGCAAGGATGCTTTCGTGAAGACCTGCCGTCGCAAGATCGAGCAAATCAGTGAAGAGGACTTGTATGTGGAGGGTGAGTTCATGGCTGAGGCTGACATGGCGGATGAGGGATACAAAGAGAGTCTTGGCACTATCACTATCGATATGTTTCACCTGTTGAGCCATGCCATAGCATGGGCACACCACATGAGGATTAAGAACAACTGTGATATTTTGAAGGTATCCTCTTGCAATGAACTTCATATAACTTCATGCATCATCACATGATATGCTTGTGGAGGAGCATTCTCGGGTCGAATGTCATCTGGTTATATTAAATCAACAATATTAACATGTTGTATATACACTGCCCGCTAAGGACCCGCATCGCCGCTATCAAAGCGGAGTGTGCAAAACATTAAGGTTGGATCCGGTCACCAGGCTGAAATTTATATGAGGTGGTCAATCAGAACAAAGCTATCAAAGTATATGCTTTATTTTTGCTTCACTTGCTGAAACAATTTTGAAGTGGTTTCATCTTGAAAGAAATGAACCCAATCCCGGATGGCTTTGTATGATTCTTGCTCTTGTAATGCTGACCCCTCTAGCTAGACAGGACTGACACCCCCTGGATCCAGCCTCTCCAGCTCCTTCTCTATATACCCGCAATGGCCCTGAGGAGAGACAAGTATGAGAAGCAGGTCAAGCTCTATTGGGTGGAGACGAAGCAGGGTGGCCGCAAGCTGTTTCTTGGGTGCATTTAACTGATAACACTGTTAATGCATATATTATATGTATATAACTATATGTTTGTACCACTTTTCCCATCATGAAAAACATCAAGTGTGTAACCTTTCTATAAACAAATCACGCATGCTTTTTGAAAGGAAACGTAAGCGACAAGTTCTTGAAGAAGAAGATGAAATTTCGGCGGATGAAATGGAAAAGTTGAAGAATGAGATGGAGGGGTTCCCTTCTGACTTTGTCTTGCCCAAAGACACGACGGGCACCTCTACTGCACATGACATGTATATGATGCATGGTCTATTTACCATCATACACCAATTTGCAACATGTGAGATCTGTGCATGTTCCCCCTAAGCTCAAGATTGAACACCCCCTGCAGATCCCGTGATCTTGGTGGAGGCTGATGGCAACGTGGATACTCAGAAAGCGCTTAAGGCGCTGAGTTTTCCTGTGATGGACGATGATGCATTGCCATCAAGCTATATCCAGAAGATCTTGGGTGCCCTTGCAAAGTGGAGGGTCAAAATGAATGGTATCATTGAGACCTTGGATAGCTTGGAAGAGAAACCTGACAATGTTCAACCGTTGCTCACATCAAATAGCTGACATGCTGTAGCATCAAGTTATCTTGTGATATCTTTTGTTTAGCAAAAACACTGCTAGGAGTGACCCAAAGTAGATGCAGTGGACCAAGGTTGGGAAGTCGAGCTGGTCAAATCGACAAAGCGCTGGTTGAGGTGGAGTCAAAGATCACTTCTACCAACACTCAGGGAATCATTGAAGGCTTCAAGCCAGAGCCCCTTGCTTTCAACACATGTATTACTATAGTAATGTAATCACTAAATTAATCGGCTTGTGTCAACGACATTTTGTTTTCCCTGCCCGTCCATTGGCCCATCTTCCCTTCTCTGCTTGTCCCCAATTGCGCCTGAGGCAGCAGGATCAGTTGGAAGAGATGTTCAAAGAAGCGCGCAAGCAGTGCCCTGTCAGGGAATGCGGTGGATGGGGCAGTCCCTGTCGGAATGCATTCTTTGCATGCATCATGCATGTGTTATTGGTATGGATTGTGTTTATGTCATTGTGCATGCATGTGCGAAATTCACCCTTTTGTTTCTGGTGAACGGATGCAAAGTTCAAACATTCTGTCAACATAAACTACACTATAATTATGATTCATTACAATTGCATGGTAAGAGAGGCTCAAATACTTTAAGTCCTTGATCTAGGGTCCGACCATGAGACCCCCATGGCCCATATTTATAATTTATATTAATTTATATTACCATGTAACTTTTTGGAGTCAAGACCGGATAGTATCCTTACAGCTTCATCATAATCATACCTCATCTACAAAAATACATGCATGGTCTGACTTTGCCCTGGTCCCGTGCAATGGACGAATTCTTCTTGGACTTGTTGACCTACACCTGCCCATTCACTGGCAGAAAACGATGTGCCATCAGTGCGGAACTGGAAACGCCTATGGCGGTTAAGAAACCACTGTTGGTTGAAGAGGATGCTTGGTTGATCCAAAATAATTTTCTGTGGTGCTTCAAGTCCTACAAGACAACAGGATTTTTTGAATTATGGGTTTTCCTATTGTTTGTTTCTCTTCATCCAACTTCCCGTAGTTCAGTCCTTGAATTTTCCTTCGCTTGCTGCCTCATGTCAGGGGCCCATTGGAATCCAAAAAAAGATCATATTTAATGTGGGCTGGAAGCAACCATTGATCGTTATTCTGCCGACACCCCTGCATCGAAACACTTAAGGAAAGAAAGAGCACACCAGTGTCCAATGCTGTTGAATGTGGGCAACTGCAAGTGGATTGGGTCCAGTTGCTCCGGTTCAACATCCATAACAAAACTATGAAGATCCAACCGAAGTTGCCAACATCGGGGAAAATTCTTGCCCATTGCAAAAGAATGGTATATGCCTTCCGGGAATCCTTGGATGTGAAGCTTTGTGTTTTCAAGATTGGTGTTACGGCAGACCCAATGAACCGCTTCTCTGACTACATGACCAAAGCATTCACCGTGATGTGGGTCCTCTACATCAGTGATGATCTGGGCCTTACCCATATGTTGGAGGCAGCCTTGATTTCGGAGTTTCATACTTCCACTGGCTGCAGAAATGCGCCAGAAAGTGGGGGTGAAGGTGGGCTCAATAGGAAGAAGCATTTGGGACCACCTTTTTTTACGTACATCACCGGTGGCAGAGCCGACCAATTAAAAAGGGTTGGGTAGGTATAGATAATTCGCTGTTTGCACATTGAATTGGTGCCAGCTGCTAGCTGATGTATCAGTGCTATTCGTTTCTGATGCTGGCAGAAAAATATAGATCGACCTCCACCATTCCTTTCCACTTCCCATCTTGCCATGTTCAAAATTAGCCCTGGCCTTCCAGCCTTTGCATCAACTTAGGTGCGCCGAAGCTTTGAGCCTTGCAACCAGGGCACAGTGACTGGGACGGATCCAACATACATGTTACAGCTGTAAAGAAAATCAAGATGATAACACGACGAAACCTGTTCAATCAAATGATATTTGAACCTTCGCCAACCTTCAAGAAACAAGATTTGTTGAGAACCTTCAGCCTGTCAGCCAAGGCCATTCCTTCAGCACATCAAGTCCCAGGAGAGGAAAAGGATGAAAGATATGGAGAAAGAGGAAAACCCTCGGACACCCGCACCTGCCCGTGTGAAGGTGGAGCCAAAGGCTTCCAGTAGAAGATCCAGATGAGCGACCTTGGCATGTGACAATCATGCTCTAGAGCTCGAAAGCGAGCTGCATGCCATGTGGCATGCCCCAGGAAACATAAAATGGCATTGGACTGAAAATTTGTAATCTCGATTTCTATCATACCACTGGTTTGTTTATGTTTTGCACAGCTGAAGGCTCTCAATCTCTGAAGGGGTTCTGCCAACAAGGGTGACAAACATCCTTGTTTGGATCACGGCAATTTGGCCATTTGATCTGTGAGCGATGCGTGCGACTACACGGCATCACTGGGGTTCAGCAAAAGCGTATGTATCTGTGCATGCATACTCTTGTTTTTTTGACATATGGTGTTTGATGACTCCATGATTTGAATGTGCTAGACATACTGTAAATGGATGGTTTTCAGATATCAAGTATAACGAACCAATTTATTTTTCCTAGTGCGGACGGCCTACTTCAAGCCAGGTGAACGCAACGATGTCAACCAACACCGCCCGCTACTGGAACATCTAGTGGAAAAGGTTGCTGATGGAGTTTCTTGAATGCAAGCCCGGTGGACCAACTCACCCTGTGGGCCAATTTACCCATGCGTAGGCCTCCCAATCCTTCTGCTGAGGCTCCAGCTGTTTCTCTGGCGCAGCACACTGAAGCCTTGCGAGAGGAGCTGGATGATAGGGAAGTGTTCTCAAAACTGTCAACCAGTGGGCTTGGTTGCCAACCAAAAAATGCATCAAGGCAATACAAACGCACAGTGAAAAGATTTGGGTTATCCGTGACACTTGGTTCTTTGCAATGGCTGAACTTATTTATTTCAGGGACCACCCAACTGAAGATGGATTTCCTCATGTTGATCCAGCCCCTATATATACTCCGCGCATTGCTTGCCCTCATCTCAGGAACATTCCGACATCCTACCATCAGTATGAGGAGAATGGGACTGTGGTCAGACTTGCCTACTTGCGGCCCACTGATATCTTGAGATATTTGTTGACCAATGAGCCGTGGCTACTCTTGGGTGGATTGAAGCCAGGGAGAGAAGCACAGAAGCTATTGTCTACATTCTGGCAACTTTACCGGAATGAACATGGATCTCATGAAGTCTTTCAGATGGCAAGGGACAACAAGGTCCAATTAGATCACACCATACCAGTGTTCATTCATGGTGATGGAGGGCGCACACAGAAGAAGACCCCATTAGAGGTTGTGAGCATCAGGCCGGCACTTGGGATTGACACAGAGCAGGCCCCTTTGAAATGCACTTGCAATGAGTCGGTGGTGTACCATGGTGCCAACAAACAGGATGCAATGTCAATGCGGTTGAATCAGAAAAACAATTCATACTTGACTCACTTCCTGGTATTTGCTTTTCCCTCGAAGAAATTCAAAACCACTCCTGGCCTTCTCCAGTCTCTCTTAGAGGCTACATCTGTGGACCTCAAGACAGCTTGCTGCGATGGCATTTCGGTTGGGGACACTTTGTTCCATATAGCTGTGCTAGGCATGTCTGGAGATATGGAGTACCATGCCAAAACAGGTGTGCTCAACCGGTCGTACCAAAATGTTGGACACAAGAACTTCATTCCATGCTGCCATGAATGCAAGGCAGGGGAACTTGCATATCCTTTTGAGGAAGTATCAAGCAACCCCACATGGACTGAAACCTTATATGCCACTCCTCCTTGGAGGGTGCCTCCTCCATTCAAGCATATCCCATTTGAGGATTGGAACACGGGAGGTGCTGGAAGATTCTTCAAGAAAGACCCATTTCATATTTTTCGACTTGGCATAGCCAGAAACTTCATTGGTAGCACCATCGTGCTATTCTGTCTTGAAGGTGTTTTTGATTTTGATGATTCCGACAGTCTTGGGATCGATGCGCGTTTGGGAAGAGCTTGGAGCTCATTTGCCTTGTGGTGTGACACACACCATGTGACTCCTGGTGCAATCCGGTCATTTTCAAAGGAAAAAATGCATTTACCCACAATGGGATCGTTCCCTTGGTGTGGCGGGAAGGGGTCAGATTCCATTCTGTTACTAAAGTGGCTTCGCTTTTTGGCTGTGCTGCATGGCCGCGAGCATCCTGAGATGGCTATTTTTCGCTTAGTGCTCAAAGCGTGCGATGGTGGTTTAGCTTTCCAGTGCATACACGCACACGGAATGTGGCTGATGCCTACGTGCAGGACCAAAATTATTCGAGCAGCAAAAGATTTTGATCAGTCCTATGCGCGGTTGGCCTACATTGCCTTTACAAATCAAAGGCAACTCTATGCTATGGTTCCAAAACTCCACGCTTTGGATCACTTTCCTGTTCAGTTGGGTTTGCAGGAGTACGACGATTACTCACTTAACCCGGCAGTTTATGATTGCAGTATGAGTGAGGACTTCATTGGAAAAGTATCAAAACAATCGCGAAGGGTATCTTTTGTCAATGTGGTGGAAAACACCCTATTGGCATACAAAGTGAAAACAAAATTTGTCATCAAAAGATTCAAGAAGAAACGCTTTCAGTAACTTTGCTACCTGTTGCGTTGGGAAAAGAGTGATTTTAGAAAATTGTGCTGACTATCGCTGTGCCCATTAAATGAAACATTCCTTGCGCAACATGGCTTTCTTGCCCGCTGGGATCCTGACGGCTGGATCATTGAACCGGCACCCCATGGCCACCGGATAAAAAGTGATTGGCGAAGTGCGTCAAAGGTGATCAAGAAAAATGTTGGTCTATCAGCCATCAGCCAGTGACTGGGATCATTGGTCTATTCTATTCATTGAAGCTGATTCAATTTTTATCAACACTACTGTTTCAAACATTAAATGTGGTTCATTTCTTGGATGAATTCCTGGTGGAGCAATGCTGCAGCAACTTGGAGCACGAGCGTTGGAGGCTGAGAACCCCTTGAAACTGCCAAAACTAATGGGTTCCCCAAAGTGCTAGGTATGGAAATTTTGATTAGGTATGAAATTCATGTTTGGGTATTGAAATTTTCAGACTTAATGGTAAGTATGAAAATAATGCACAAGGGGAAGCTTCAGGTATATATATTCATACATACACTATAATTATACACCTTTGAACCCATCAGGGACCTCACTGGGCGTCCCAGCGTTCCACATCCCTGGCAAAAAACAAAATGAGCTGCGCGCCTGTCGACACAGCGCACGCTGAAACCGTCGGCAACCGTCAGAACCATATAGGAAACATTAGGAAACCATATTTTAAGGGTTCGTTCTCTCAAACCATTGGCTTAACATGGTTTAACCCATTTTTGAAACTTTAAATTGTCAACATGGGCACGTCAAAAAACATGACTGACTGACTCCAGACCGTCCATCTTTTCAGAACAACTATCTTGTGAGACCGCCTACTTAGAACAATACATTTTACAAAGCGGCGCTTTCCCGGCATTTCCCTCCCGGCTGATTGGCAGTTCAACCACAGCCGGAAACATCTCAAAGTCATGAACCATCAAAAAAATACCGTATTAACTTGAAACCACACAGCAATGGAAATCAACAAAACATATTAGAAACTCACTGGTCAGATTTTTTCAGGTTAGCAGAACCAACAGTTCCACTGATCCACGTAGGGAGTAATTACACAAAAACCCGACAGATGATTCATTATTTTGCCCATGGAAATAACAATGACTTCGGGTAGGCATGTATGTTTGGACAAAACCAAACCAGATATGACAAAAATTGACAAAACATCAAAGTATTACTGTACAATTCCCCAAATGACCATGGACCCCGAGAATTTCCGATCCCCGAGTTGGCATGAAACCCAAAGAAACCATCATTTGATTCACTGTGAAACCACCAGCATATGGAGGTTTCCTAAAATGGGGTTACCACATTTTTTTTGGTTTATATGTAATGGAAAATCCTATAAACCAATGGATGATTTGGAAATACCCATATTTTTCAGGAAACCTCCAAAAACTAGAGTGTTTGCATCAAACTGGCACTCGCCTAGCAGCGTCATTAGTTGTATGCAGTGTCACCTATCTACATTTACATGGTGTTTAAAAGTGCAAGGTTTTCTGTTTGCTCTGACATGACCTTTTCGCAAATTGTGGACCTCTAACCCAGTCATTCAAATTGGAGTGTAGCGCCAGCATCAACCATTCAAACGAACACCAAAATCAACTGTTTCCAATGACTCATATATATATATATATGTGGCTAGGGCTCTAAAATATAGATTCATTGATGGTTTCAGCAGGACCAATGATGCATTGATGCATCATCCCAGATAATGACTCAACTAGTGCATATGTCCACTATGTTACGATGTTACATAATCATTAGAGATTACCACTAGTACCGCGCAAGGCGGTGGCGGAAGCTTCAAAAATAGAAAAAAACTATAGGAGAGGTTGGTTGTTGTGAATCACGGATGGCAGAGCGAATCCACTGATGGACCGAAAGGTGGTTGGAATGTCCAGCTGTCTATCTATCCATCCATCTTTCTATCTATCCATCCATTTGTCTGTCTATCTGCCTATCTGTCTATTTAACTCTTTCTCTATCCATCTATCTATCTATCTATCTATCGATCTATCTATCTATCTATCTATCTACCTATCCTTCTAGTTGTCTGTCTACTTATCTACTATCGGTCTATCTACCTATCCATCTATCTGTCTTTCCATCTGTCTGCTTAGCTCTCTATCTGTCTATGCAGCCGTCTATCGATCAAACTGCCTGTCTATGTGTCTATCTGTCTATCTATCGTTCTTTCTATTTTTTCTCTTTCGTTCTATTTTTCTCTTTCGGGATCTGTCCATTTCCTTGTCTATCCGTATATCTTTCCACTTGTCTTTCGGTCTATCCATCTGTTTTGTTGTCTATCTGCCCATCCAGCTGTCCATTCAATCCATTTCAGTACCGAAGCATTTCACCCATCCATCTATCTGAATCCTCATCTTTCCGTCGTCTAGATATTTCGACAGTTGCACAGAAACCAAACAGTGCGAACAGAACCGGGTTTGAGTTGTGGTGCAACTTCTAAAACTTAAAAATGTGAGAAATCACTCTACCACGATCCCTATGGTGCACAACATCAAAAACAAAGCAATTCTGCGAGACTTCCTCAATTTTCAAGTTGACAACATAAAAAACGAAGCAATCCTGCGAGACTTCTATCAAAAATAGAAAGTTGGAGTGGTTGCAATGTGGTTGCAATGGTTGCAGAGGTCACTTCACCACAACTGCTGGATGTAGTGTGGTGTAGTGCAGTTGTAGTTGTAGCTGTAGTGTAGCGTAGTGGAGTTGTAGTGTAATGTAGTGTAATTAGCGTAGTGTAGCTGCAGTTGCTGTTGCAGTTGTAGTTGTGGTGTGGTGTAATTAGTGTAGTGTAGTGTAGCTTAGCGTAGTGTAAAGTAGTGTAGTTGTAGTTGTAGCGTAGTGTAGCGCAGTGTAATGTAGTGGTAGCTGTAGTTGTCGTTGCAGTTGTAGTTGTAGTTGTAGCTGTAGCGTAATGTATGTTAATTACTTTAGTGTAGTGTTGCGTAACGTCCTGTAGTTTTAGTTGCATTTGTATTTGTAGAGTGCTGCAATGCAATTGGTGTAGTGTAGTTGTAATTGTAGCAGTGGAAGTAGTGGTGGAAGGAGCAGTAGCAGCAGCAGCAGCAGGAGTAGTAGTAGTAGTAGTTGTTGTTGTTGTTGTTGTGGTGTAATTAGTGTAATGTGGTATAACCAGATGTAATTAGTGTAGTGTAATTAGTGCAATGTCGCGTAGTATACTTGCGTTTGTAATTACTTGTAGTTGTAGTAGTAGTTTCGTGTAGTGGTAGTTGTAGTTGTCTATCTATCTGTCTATCTGCAAGCTTTGAAAATGAAGCTATTGTGCGGGACTTTCTCAGCTTTTTGAACTTGACAACATCAAAAACGCAGCGATTCTGCGAGACTTCCTCAATTTTGAATTTGACAACGTCAAGCATGACACAATTCTGCGTGACTTTCTCAATGTTCGAAGTTGACAACATCAAAAACGAAGCAATTCTGCGAGACTTCTTTCAAAAATGGAAAGTTGAGTGCAGAGCTGATGGCCTCGTACCAATGCGCGTTGCGATTTTCCCATTGTAGCACAACATGTGTCTCCTACATGGGAATTGATCTGTCATGAAACACCTAACCCCCCCTATAGGTCAACAAGGTCAACAAGGTCCAGTCAGGGAATCAAGAAAACCAACCCCCCCGAAATAATGTTGCTTTCATTCATCCATCAACGATAATCATCAGATTCCTATGGGAAAAGATTAGAAAACCAATGGTAAACATGAGAAAAGAATAATGAAACAACTCTTCGCGGCTGGGTGCAGTTTTCTAATTGGGGGGAGGCATCTTTCTATTTGTGGGGGGGCAGCACTCAAGGGGGGTAGCCTTTCTGAGCTCCCAAAAACTGCATTTTTAAATTTATGTTAATTAGAAATCGATCATTTGGATTCATTTGGGAAATATTTTCTTTTTCATTGTTGGCGTCTTGAAATAAAAACAAAATAGGAATAAGATAGGAAAGGATCACTGAGTAACCCTGGAACATGTAAAAAAAGTAAAAGGGAGTAATAGCAAATTAGTCCCACCAAAAATTTGGGGATCCTGGATGGGTTTCGCTAATTGGGGGTTGGAAAATATTATTAGGGGCGGAAAACAGCACCTAATTGACTTTAGTATTGCCCCAAAATCGGAGGAGAGAATATGGGTTTCGCTACCTATAGGGGGTTTTATTACTCCTGACTATACATTACACGGAAAAGAAAAAATAACTTGGCACCGATCAAAATCCGTCCCTGCCTGGTACCGCAGAAAGGGCAAAATCCAGCCTTGCAGACGGTCCACGGTCGGCATCTGTCAACCACACTGCAAGGGTTGAACCAAAAAAGGTTGATTTTACCAACAATGATGGATATAATGAGGTGTAGATAATGTGGTGTACTGGGATGTAGGGTGATATAGGTGGATATAGTAGCAGCCAACAACATGATATTCGGGTTTGAACAATTGATGATTTTGGATTCAGATACTGATTCAGAGCCAGTATAGAACAGTTTGATGCCAATAATGATGATAAATAAAACAAACCCATACAAATGATTGTATATATATATATTATAACATATTATAACAAATATTAGCATTACATGAGATGAAAGCAAATCAACACCCGAAAATGTCTCGTATCAAGTATCAAGCCATCCTAATGTGTCCCATTCCCCACGAAATGGATGGATTTCTAGTTGAGCAGTGTCCGTTGTGACCCGTGCGGTGATGAAGCCTGGACATGTGACCATATGATCAAGCCATGGATTCGAGGATGCCTATGGATACCTATGGATACCTTGTGACAACAATCTTTGTTCCGAGTCCCGAGTCGTTTCTACGTATTCCCGCAAGATGTTATCAAATCTTCTTGAACATGGATCCAGCTGTGGTCCTTCTTTGTTGAGTCTACCCACGAAGAAATTACCATTGATGCTGCTGATACACCATGATCTGCATTTTTCCGGCAT